ACTCCCAGGGCCGGAAGGAGGGATCTCTGCAATGTAGCGAACCCTCCTTCCCCGGTAATGGCCTGCCCAGAAGACTTCCCTGAAGCCTCCGGAGAGCAAAAAATGGCCGAAAAAGAAGACCGAAGTCAACTGGCCAGCTTGGGCACTGGAGCTGACAGGACAACACCTCATGTGCCCTAACAAATTGCCCTGCATGCCACCTGTGGCACGCATGCCATAGGTTCGCCATCACAGACCTAGATGTATCTCTAGCCAGAGGCTCTTTCCTCTTTATGTTTTTGGAAAGGTTCTCCAGGGAAGATGCAAATTTGTCCAACTTGGAAATTCTGCAGGTGGAATATGTTCATCAAGAAGATGACTTGCAAGTAATTTATTGAAGTGTTCATTGTTAAGAACGCTAATGGAATATGTTTAATTTTTCCCCCTCTACCTGTGTCAGGATTTGGTATTGCTTGAGGAACGTAGCTGTGTTTTTCTCCGTGGAGGAGTGGGCCCTGTTGGATTCTGAGGAAAAAGCCCTGTACCAAGAGGTCATGCTGGAAAACGCAAGGAATATGGCCTCCTTAGGTAAGGGTTTCTGCTAAGATATTGAAATTTAATAGTTGGAACAGTGTTGTACAAGGAGTCAGATCATTCAGTTGCAGCTGATTGGTTGGAGAGTGCTGTTTCCTGCATGAGACAATCGATGCTGGGATTGGTTAATATGAATATAAAGAGGGAGTGTCCTGGTTTCCCGCCCTTTTTCCACTGTGGGCTCTGAAATTTTACCTCATGATGATCTTGTGGTGTTTGTTTATCTCATCATGCTCTTGTTAGCCTGAATTTCTTGTTTACTGTAAATGTTTACTGCCAAAGATATTAATTTACATAAAAAGACAAGCTCGTCTCAGCATCTCTGACCTTTTTGGACACCTGATGCGCAATTCCCAGACAGATTCTCTTTCCTCTGGACTGAAAGTGTGGGAGACATGAGCAACTGATCTGTTTTTCAGATAAATGCTATTTTTCCAATAGATAAGATAGTTACATCTAGGTTGTAACTACTAGCAGAATGGTCTGTCTGATCTGCCAGATCCTCTGCAGGTGGGATCTTCCAACATGTTCTTCGAGTCTGATTATCTTGTTTATTGTAAATATTGATGTAAAATACACACACACACACACACAGACACACACACACATTCATGTATATGTATATGTGTGTGTGTGTATGTATGTGTATGTATGTGTATGTATGTGTATGTATGTGTATGTATGTGTATG